CCCTGTCTACGAGGACCCAGGACAGACCCCACCCCTGTCTACGAGGACCCAGGACACACCCCAGCCCTGTCTACGAGGACCCAGGACAGACCCCAGCCCTATCTACAGGGACCCAGGACAGACCCCAGCTCTGTCTACGAGGACCCCAGGACAGACCCCAGCCCCGTCTACGAGGACTCAGGACAGATTCCAGCCCTATCTACGAGGACCCAGGACACACCCCAGCCCTGTCTATGAGGACCCAGGACACACCCCAGCCTTGTCTACGAGGACCCAGGACAGAACCCAGCCTTGTCTACGAGGACCCAGGACAGACCCCGCCCCTGTCTATGAGGACCCCAAGACAGCCCTCCCGGCCAGCAGGCACAGCCCACCTTCCAGGCCGCTCACGTCGTGCAGGCACTGGCCACGGGGGTTCTGGCAGGTCCTCAGGCAGGGCGCCCCGCAGGGCAGGTAGTGCCACTCGCACAGGCCCTCAGGGTTGTAGTAGTCGCAGAACAGGGCTGCGAGAGAGAGGGCGGCTCAGTGGCCGGGCTCTCAGCGCCGGGGTGGAGTGCCGCCGGGAAGGACAGCCTTGCGGCCCATGCAGGCTCCCACTGCACCCTGACGTTTGACCAAGTCCCATGGGCTGTTCTAAAGCCATTTCCTCCCCTGTGCCTCCTGGATGTGGCCACGGTGGGCGTGGGCCTAGAATGCCCGTGGGCGAGACAGGGTGGTGGGCAGGGTGGCTAGCTGGGGGTCTCACTCTGGCTTCTTGGGGGTGCCACCCTTTGGTGTGAGGATTCTGGCCAGAGCAGCTCCCCAGCTAACCCCCTCCAGCCAGGCTCCAGCTGGGCTCGGGCCGGGAAGCTCTGCTGACCCTTTGGCTCCAGAACATTCTACCATGCCTGCCATCTCTCCATCAGTGACACGCCCTCCATTTCATTTTCTTTCAAACCCTTCCCACGGCTCCCAGGGGCAGACACTGGACTTTGTCACCCACTTGTGCCCCGCCCGCCCCGACGGGCACATCCGTGTGCACTCACGGCAGATGCTGGGCGTCCGCCAGGACACGCACACGCCCACCTCGTGGCAGGCCTGGGCGTAGGCGGCCACGGCCGTGCAGAAGCACTCGCAGTCGCCCCCCGAGTCACAGGCGCACGCGTCGCTCACACAGGCCTCGTAGTACTTGGCGGGCTCCACCTGTGGGAGGGAGAGGCTTCGACTCTGGGAACCCGGCCCCCACCATGGGCTCCTGGGCATCAGGCCCCAGCATGGCGTTGGCCTGGCGGTTTCCCCTGGAGATCAGGAGGGCAGATGCGTGGTCCCCCATGGCTGGTCAGACCAATCCTACTGTCCACAAGCAGGTCCTGAAGGGTGCCCCCCACCCCCCCAGCAAGGGTCCCTTCCTCCCCAGGAGCCCGGAGGAGACCCCAGCCGGCCAGCTCCATACGTGGGCATGGCAGGCGGCAAAGGTGGCGCTGTTGATGATGCTGCACTGCTTCTGGGCCCAGGACTTGCGGTATGGGTTGGCAGTGCAGGGGTCCTTGGGGGCCGAGGCATCCGGGCAGGACGGGGAGAACTTCCAGCTGTTGCCAAACTCCAGTGCGTTGCCCACTACGGACTGGCTCCGTGTGGTGAAGTCGTTGACGGCGTTGTCGTCGAAGTTCCCGCACAGCCCGCAGACCCTCCCCTACAGACACAGAGACAGGCGGGGCCCGGGGGCTCAGGGCACACCCAGGAGGGGCCCAGGCCCCCTCCCACCCCTCTGCCTCCCCCTGGGGCCCACACTTTCCCCAGGACACCCCAGGAGGAAGAATATAGAGCGAGGCTCCCACGCAGCCCCACTCGGCGCCAAGACCACAGGGCATGCCTCAGTCTCTCCTGGAGGAGAGGCACGGGAGAAACACATAGTGGGCTAAACAGTGTCTCCCAAAGACAGGCTTGGGCCCTGACCCGGGACCCCTGGGCATGGCCCCATGTGGAAATAGGGTCTCCGTGGACGGGATCCAGTTAAGATGAGGGCATCCTGGATCAGGGCGGGCTGGTCCAGTGACTGGTGCCCTCATAAGATGAGAGAAATTTGGACACAGACACACAGAGTGAGGCCAGGAATATGATGACGGAGGCAGAAGTTGGGGTGATAAGACCACAAGACCAGGAATGCCTGGGGCCACCAGAAGCTGGATGGGGCGGCCAGGAAGGGTCCTCCCCTAGAGCATCCAGAGGGAGCACAGCCCTGGGACACATGGACTGGGCTTCTAGTGTCCAGAGCCGTGAGAGAAGGAGCCACAGTTTGTGACAATGTGTTCTGGCAGCCACAGGACAGTGACACACAGCAAAGGGCCTCAGACCTGCCCAGCTCCCTGGAGGCAAGTCCAGGCTCAGTCCCTCCTCTCTCTCTCTGTCTCTCTTGTCTCTGACTCTTTGTCTTTGCCTGTCTCTCTCTCTCTCTCTGTCTCTGCATCTCTGTCTCTCTGTCTATCTCTCTCTCTATCTCTGTCTCTCTCTCTGTGTCTGTCTCTCTCTGTCTCTGTCTCTTTGTCTCGCTCTGTCTCTCTCTCTCTCTGTACCTCTGTCTATCTCTCTGTCTCTGTCTCTCTGTCTATCTCTGTCTCTGTTTATCTCTGTCTATCTCTGTCTCTCTCTCTGTGTATCTCTTTCTCTGTCTCTCTCTCTGTCTCTGTCTCTCAGTCTCTGTCTCTTTGTCTCGCTCTGTCTCTGTCTCTCTCTGTGTCTCTCTGTCTGTCTTTATCTCTCTCTCTCTCTCTGTCTGTTTCTCTCTGTCTCTGTCTCTCTGCCCTCACCCCACAGCCGGCCCTTGTTCTGGGGGTGAGGGTGGCTGTCCTCGGCCGGGCCTGACCTTGAACTCGGGGCTAAGCCTGATGAAGATGCTGGTCTTCATGTCCCACAGCAGCAGCAGGCCGACGTCGGTGTCCACCACCAGGTAGATGCCCATCTGGCGGATGGAGTAGGGCACCTCCTGCCCCGCGCCCTTCCTGATCACCTCCGCTTTCCCATCACTCAGCTTCAGCTCGTAGCTCTGTGCAGGGAAGGGTCACTCAGGGCCTGGGTGAGGACCCTGGGCCACCTCCCGGGCGGGTCCACCTGTCCTGGCTCGGCTGTGGGAGTGCAGCCTTCCTAGGGGCTCCCTGGAGCCTCCCAAGGGGGTGCCCCGGCCCCTGCCCACCCATTGCTCACCCCCAGGAAGATCTTGATGGCCTTGGAGCAGGTGGTCCCTGTGGTGCCGCAAGGGACGTTCTCAGTGACGACACGGAAGGCTTCCTGGGTGCTGCTGTTTCGGCTGCAGTGGTCCTGGGGGAGGAGGAGGGCTGTCCCAGGGGGGAGGCCGGCCCTGCCCAACTTCCCGCGATGAGGCTGGACTGGGAGCGCCGGGCCAGCGGGAGAGCGCGGGGCCACGTACCTGAACCAGCGTGTACTCGCAGTCCCCGCTGAAGCTGTAGCGCTGCCCATCGAAGGTGAGGTAGTGGCCATCTCCGTACACGGCGCAGGTGGCCAGGCAGGGCTCATCCGTGCACTGCCACACTCTGTTCTTACAGGTGCTGGTGGGGAGCCGCAGATCAGGCCCAAGCCGGGAGGGGGCAGGGATGGGGCGCCCCCTAGAGGCTCCGGTGGGGTGCGGCCTTCAGGCCCTGAGCAGGGGACACCGCGGGCCTCGCTGCCTGGGGCTGCCCACGTGGCGTCAGGTGTGGGCTGCACCACCGGCCGCAGGAGCTTGCCCCCCTCCCGCCCCCAGGATGGGCCCCGAGCCCCCCACGTACCAGGTGTTGCAGCCCACCCGGATGGTCTCGCCGGCCTGGTAGCTGGCATCGTTATGCACGCAGGGGCAGTCGGCCGCAGCAATGCAGCCGCCTTGGCCGTCAGCCACCAGCCCGTGGGGACACACGCAGCCAGACACACACTGGGAGCTATACTGTGGGGCAGGGCAGACACAGCTCAGTGGCCCGGGGGACAGAACAGAGAGCAGAAGGTCCCCCTGGGGTCCCCAGCAGGGCCCGCGTCCACCCGGGTGGGCTACCCAGGGACCAGAGGGGCAGGAGGGCCAGCAAGCCTACGGGCAGGGGTCCTCTTGGGACCAGCGTGGGTGGGCGTCTCTGCAGGTGCCCTGGAGGGCTGAGCAGGTGCGGGGTCATCAGAGGGTCATCGGGGTTATTGGAGGTCACTGGAGTCCAGGGCATCAGGGGCACTTACACAGTCCATGTCCAGTGTGTGGCAGCTCTTCTGACAGCCGGCACCGCTGGCCCCGGCTGTGGCGTTGCGGCAGTCGAAGTAGACCATGGGCGATGCACAGACTGCGGAGAGGAGGGGACCGTTCAGGGGACCCCGACCTCCACCCGCCAGGCTTGCGCTGCCCAGTCGACCTGTGTGTCTCCCAACAGCTGAGTCGCGGCAGCCCTGGGGCGTGGCCAGCATGTGTGCGTGTGCATGTGCGTGTGCGTGTGCATGTGCGCGTGTGTGTGTGTGTGTATGTGAGGCCCACACACCCTCACCGCCCCCTCGCTGAGTCCAGAGGGCACAGACCAGGCCTGACAGAGATGCTGATCCACACCCACTCGCCAGGCTGACATGGGGGGTGTTAACCCAAAGCTTCTGGTGGAGATGACCAAGGCCCCTCCCGCCCTCCCTGGCAGGCTCACCTGAGGTGGGGACGTGGCCTCCAATGCAGGTCAGCCTGCCCTGGGTGCAGGTGCTGTGAAGAGAAGGTGGTCAGAGGGCCGCCCAGCCCTACCCGTCCTGCCCGCCCACCCGACGGGGGTCTTACCAGATGGCCCCGCTCTCGTGGAGAGACTCCCCGTTGGGGACCACGGAGCCTCCGAGGTAGCAGGGACAGCTGGTGGCCGGCACACACTTGCCCGTGTCGTCCAGGAAGGTGTCATGGGGGCAGGCGCAGCCGTCCACGGTGACGAAGCTGATGCCACAGGTGACGTCCTCTTCACTCCGGGCACGGCAGGTGGGCTGGCAGGTGCTGATGTTGTACTGGTAGGTCATCGACTTGGGGCAGGTGGTTGTGGGCTTCGCTGCAGGATGCCAGGAAGTGGGCAGCTCTCAGGACAGAGCCAGCAGCCGTCCCCGCAAGCCCTCCTGGCTCCCCCGTCCCCACCAGGTCCCCCCTCATTGGCCTGGATTCTCCTTGGCCTCTGAGCCCAGAGTGGGGACGAGGGCCCGTGAGCATCTGCCCCAGGGCCCATTGGCCTCAGGCTCCCCGCACACTCACCGCAGACGCCGTCCCTCCAGTCACTGAGCAGCACGCCCTTGGCTGCGCAGGCCCGCACGTAGGAGGACAGAGCCGCGCACATGCAGGCCTCGCTCTTCTCGCAGTTACACGTGTCGAACATGCAGTTCTGGGGACAAGGCCGTCGGGGGGCCGTCAGGGACCCCAGCCAACACGTGGCGAGCATCCCCCCACGCTGCCAGCCCCCCACCCGCCTCCTCCAGAACCGCTCCCCGAGCCCTCGCCAGGGCCCCTGCTCCCTTGCACAGCACATCTGGGGGCCGAGCTCTCTGGCTGGGTGGGGGCGCTGGTAGGACCCCCCTCTTCTCGGTGACTCAGCAAGCCCCCGCACGTCGGCCTCAGACTCCAGAGCATCTCGGCCACCACCAATTTCTCATTTGGCCCCCGGGGCCCAGCGGGCTACAGATGCTCACGGTTTGCCCCCTGCCTGGTGTGGGGCTGGGGGCATGGGGCAAACAGCAAACATGCGGTGAGGGTGTGAGGGAGGGAATGAATGAATGAATGAGGACAAGGGGGTTGGAGCTGGAGAGACCTGCTGGCCCCAGACACCCTGCCACGGCCCTCAGGACCACGCTGGGCCCTCCCGGACCCCCTGGGGGCGGCCGCGTGGCCAGAGGGGAGAGCAGGCCAGCGATTACCGCGTAGTAGGTGCTGGGGCTCACGGCGCTGTGGCACCCAGAGAAGGAGCCGTGGGGGTCCGTCAGCCGGGAGCACCAGTGCTGAGCGTACTTCTCTGTGGACAGAGGAGGAAGGGTGGTCAGGCGGCCGGACGGTCGGCCTCCAACAGAAGCTACACAGAGACGCACAACCTTCCTTTTACCCCGAGCTCCCGCCGCTCCACAGAAAGCAATGCCGGGCGAGAGCAATTCGGGGCTCCTTCTCCTGCCCAGGTCAGCAGGCATGAGGGCCTCCACGCCCTGCCCTGCACTCCAGCAACACCCTGTTCCTTTTTTTCCGGAACTTTCCACGGAACTGCACAAGTGTCAGTGAGTTTGCCTGTTGACCACCTGACCTCCCCCCTTCAGGGCCGGAGTGAAAGCTGGAGCCCGTGCCTGGACCTCACGGCCCAGGGGGCCCCAGCAGGCAGGTAGGCCTGCGGGCCGGATGGACACACGCACCGTTCTCCACGCTGAGGGAGCAGGGGTCCTCGAAGCTGTTCTTGACGTTGGGGCAGGCGGCCTGGGTCTTCCAGGTGTTGACGAAGGCGGCGGCCGTGCCCTCCACCACGCCGCTGAGGGTCCGGAAGTCATCGGCCTGGTTCTGGTTGAAGTTCCCGCACAGGCCTGGGGACAAGAGGGCGGTGTGAGGCCCCCGTGCGCCCCAGCCGCCAAGGGTGGGCTCAGGCCCCAGGGCGGGTGGTGCCTCTTACCGCAGGTCAGCCCCTGGAGCGCGGGCGCCAGCCTCACGAACACCTGCATGGTGGGCACCAGCTGCACGTCCAGCTGCAGGTCCAGGTTGGTCTGGGCGATGATGAAGAAGGTTGAGGGTCTGAAGAGTGTGATGTTGGCTGCGGACACAGGGCACAGGGATCTCAGTGGGGTGTGAGGGGCAGGACCCTCTGGGGGCCAGGGCCAGCGCCCTCACCTGCAGAGACGGGCAGCTGGGTGTAGATCTGATTCACAAACACCTCCCCGCTGGCCTTGATCACGATGACCTGAGAGCAGCATGGAGCAGGATTAGCGAGGAGCCGGGCCAGGGACAGCCAGCGCCCTCGGCGGCCCCCAGAGGCTGTGAAATGTGCCTGCGAGACCTCTGCCTGCGGGGCGCGGGCTCCCGCGAGGAGGGGCTGACGACCCATGTCCCCTCTGCCCATCCTAGGTTTTCTGCGAGGACTGTGCACTTTTCAGTCACGTGAAAACCAAATCAGTTTTATAAAATAGAGAAGCCGACATTGGTGAAGCAGCCGTGCTGCCAGGAGGCCCCCGAGTACCCTCCTCCTGGGCTGGTTGGGGTGGGCGTGGGGGCCCTGGTGCCGACCCTGAGCCTTCCGTTTGGGAGTGGAACTCAGAAGACTCATGAGAGGTGGATGCAGCGAGTGGGGCAGGAGGGTCCACGGGCCATGCAAGCGCTCAGGCAAAAGTCACTTGCCTGGAAAGATGGGCACCCTCCCCGACCCCCCCGGGGTCCGGCTCACCGTATGCCCCCCACCCAGGCTCAGCGTCAGGCTCTTCAGGCAGGTCTCGCTGTCCGTCAGCCCACACTTGCGCAGGTCGGCCAGCACGGTGAAGGCGCTGCTGTTACAGGGCTGCAGACAGGGTCCTCATTCTCCGCCCGGCACCCCCAGCCCGCCTCCTCCTCCCTGCCCACCCCCGGGCCCCTGGTGTGGGTGCCGGGAGCTGGGGGCATTTCCTGGGGGACTCAGCATCCGGGTGGCCACATGCAGCCTGGGCAGGGGAAGGCTGGGCAAGGAGCCACAGCCGGATGGGGCCCCGCAGCGGCTCTGTGGGGCGAGGCCCGGGCTGTACCTTGGCCAGCACATAGGTGCAGTCCCCGTGCACCGTGTACAGCCTCTCGTCGAACGTGGAGAAGTGGGTGCCGCCCAGCACAGAGCACGTGCCCGGGCACGGCACCTCCTGGCAGCTCCACTGGCCTCCTGAGCAGGTGCTGAGAGCAGGGAGAGACGGCATGTGTGCGGGCCCGGGGAGCGTCCAGCCCCAGCCTCCGCATCGGCAGGCAGATGGGGTCTTGCCCAGGCCAGCCTGCGACAGACGCTGGGCCCGTCGGCATCTGTCTGGGGACCCACTGGTCCAGGGCTCTGAGTGGGAGAGGACGACCAGTGCACGGATCACAGCCCCTAGAGGGGCCAACCCAGGGCAGGTCCAGAGGGGACGGGAGGGCAGGAGCCAACCCAGGGCAGGTCCAGAGGGGACGGGAGGGCCGTGGCTGTCCCATGGCAGGTTCTGGGGGACCGGAGGGCAGGGGCCTGGGGTCCTACCAGTTGGTGCAGTCTGTGGAGTAAGTGGCCCCTGGCGCGTAGGTGGCCCCGTTGTACACACAGGAGCAGTGGGACTCGGGGATGCAGCCAGTCTGGCCAATGTCATCGAGCACCATCCCTGCAGAGGCAGGCAGGCCGTGTGGCAGGTGCTGGGCTGTGTCCATCACCTGACCGTGTGGAGGGGACTGGCCCTCTTCCCCTGGTGGCCCTGCCCCTCGGGGGGTCCTCAGACTGAGAACCGGAGGGCCCAGGGACTCCACGGGTTGGGTCAGAGGGGCCTTTCTTCCAAGTATCTGGCGTGGCAGCGCCAGCCATCGGGGACCCAGAATGCGTCTGTGTGATTTTTGGGGATGGGGGCCCCATCTCACCCTCGGGGCAGAAGCAGCCGGCAACGCAGTGGTCCTCACAGAGCTGTGAGTGCTCGCGGTTGGAGCAGGTGTCGGAGCACGGCGAGCCGCACTCGTGGTACCGCATGTTGAGGGGGCACGTCAGCGCTGCAGGGAGGACAGGCTGCGTCATGTCCTGCCCCTGCCCTAGGACCCGAGGCAGGACCACGTGATGGGCTGGGCCAGGCGGGGCACTCACGGCAGAGGTCAGGGCCCCTCCAGTCCTGGGGCAGCCCCCCGGCGTGCGCGCACTGGCGGGAGTACTCGGCGAGCGTGTGGCAGATGCAGCTGGTCAGGTTGTCTTGCTCGCAGAGGCAGAGGTCCTGATGGCAGGCCTCCACGTAGCTGCTGGCGTCCACCAGTGCGTTACAGCCCGAGAACGGCCTGCTGCTCAGGATTTCCTCACAGAGGCCCTGGGGCAGAGGCCGGGGCCCACACTGAGTCCAGGCTCCCGAGTCCCCTGGGTTCACAGCCCCCACCGCCTCGGCCCGTGGCTTGTGGGAGAATGACCCCAATCCCGACTCCTGCCCCCGCCCCGGGCCCTGTTCACTCTGGGGCCTACCAAGCCAGTCGAGCAGTTCACTAGGGACACGGGGATGGGGTCCTGACACTGCTCCGTGGGGCCATCCAACTTCTGCAGATTCCCAAACTCCATGGGGGTCAGCTTGACGTCTGCAGGAAGCACAGCGCCGGGCTCTTTGCAGGCTCTCAGTGCCTTTCGCCACCCTCACAGCGCCTGAGGTGTCCCAGCTACGCCTGCCTCCCCCATCCACACTGCCCGGTTAAGCAGCAGCTACACAGGACATTCGGGGGATCTGGAGATGAACTGAGGAACCCCCGGGGCATTGGGGGCATGTCCGACGCTCTGCGGCCCGCAAACAGCCAGAGGGCTGGAGAGTGACCCTGGGCTCCTGGTGGCCCTCGGAGCCCAGCAAAGCCTGCACTGGGCCCGCCTGGCCGGGGCCACTGGACGCCTGGGCAGGATCGGACCCCTCCATGAAGCCCTTACAGGTGAGCTTCACGCGCCTGGCACAGGGGAGCCGGGAATCTGGGGCTCTGGCTGGTGCTGGGCACACGGAAGGCCACTGCTTGGTGGCAGAGACTCAAAGACCAAGAAGCAGTGACAGAGTCTGACCAGAGGCTGGTCTGTAACTTCAGGTGAGAGTGCGTGGTCACGGGCGCCCACTGCCCAGAGCAACAGCTCTGAGGATAAGAGGGCCCAGCAGGAGGTTTGCTTCCAGCTGCCCTGCCAAGAGCATGCTAGCGTGCCAGGACTGTGTGCACATGTGTGTGCGCACATGTGCACGCTGGGATTGTGAGGGTGTGCAGGTGCATCTGTGCCCGTGTGCATGCATGTGTGTACACGTCTGCATGGGAATCGTGCATGTGTACAGGTCTGTGTGAGCATGCATGTGTACACATATTGGAGACGTCTGACTTGGGACCCTGGAAGACAGTCTTCAGGGAGCACTGGGAAGGAGTGGGAGCCGACGGTGTGGGGGCTGGCTGGGCCGGGCCGGGAGGCGGGGGGCTTACTGTGGGAGAAGAACTCGTTGAAAACGGGGACTCCGTTGAAGTCTCCACAGAGCCCGCAGGTCTGGTTGGCGTATTTGGCATCCAGCTCCAGCTGGAAGGAGAGGACACGTCAGATGCCTGGACCCACAAGGGACGCCCCAAGATGGGAAGAACAGACCAGAGTGGGAGCCAACATTCCCAAGGAGGGGCTGGGGCTCCTCACAGAGGAGACACGGGCCGTGGACTCTCCCCATGCACTCCATGAATCCGTGAACCCGAGCAGGGTTCTGTCCTGGAGGAGATGCCCCACACATGCAGGCTCTCCGTCTTGGGGTGTAGGCCCTGGGGCCCCATTAGCAGCTGGGCCCCCATCCTCACTGGCCGTGTGCAGCGGGCTCTGACCTTCCCACCCACCTTCGCCCAGAACACTTTCTTCCCTCCCTGGGGAGGCTGTCAGGCTGGAGGTGCGTGCCTGGCCCCCCACCCCTGGCCTCCCGGCCACCTCCACTGGCCCCCAGTCTCACCAGGAGGCTGTCGTCCTGGTTCCACATGAAGACCAGACCCAGCCTGGCCACCACCTTCACGTAGCTGCTGCTATGCTCGATGAGGACCCCGGACTGGCTGAAGGGCAGCTGAATTCTGTGGAGAGAGGGCCCAGCTGAGGCACCGAGGAGCACGTGAGGCCGGGGGCAACAGAGGTCTGGACCTCAGGCAGGGAGGGTCCCTACAGGCATGTATGTGACAAGTTCACGGCGCCCGTGGACGGTGCTGGTGGGCATGAGGACAGGACACCCCGGAGCTCTGGAGTGGAGAAGAATGAGGCAGGGGCCCACTTCCAGGGGCAGAAAAGAGCCCTGGGCCCCCGGGAGGAGCAGGTGGGCCGAGCACAGGGGCCTGGGGAGGCCAGCGCCCGGCTCCTCTCTCAGGTACTTGCCCACGTCCCCCCTACGACCTCCCAGGGACCCAGGCTCACAGGCGACCGTTGACCAGGACCGAGCTGTTGGTCAGCTCAACGACCATGCCGTCGAGCTTCATGACGACCCTGTTCAGCATGGTGGCGTTGGACGCCCGGCCACGGCGGAGCTGGACATTGAAGTCCTCGTAGGCGGCGCTGCAGTGCGCGGAGAAGACGTAGTTGCAGAGGCCGGGGAAGCGGAAGACGTCACCGTCGAAGGTCTTGTAGTGGAAGTCGCCCCAGGTGCTGCACACCCGCCCGTTGTGCGCCGGGTTCGCGGCTGCGGGCAAAGCAGCCGCTGTTCTGAAGGCGCAGCCCCCACCCCCCACTCCCATGCCCCCACATGCTGGAGTCTGGGGCACGCTGCCGCCCGAGGGCAGGGCATCTGGGGGGTCCTGCCTGCACCCAAGATGTTCTGGGCCTTGAACCCTCTTCCAATACTTGTTCAAGGTCCTCCCGGAAAGCTGGGTCGCCTTTCCAGCTGGCCCCTCTGGGTCTGAGGGATGGAGAGCTCAGCCAGCATGGCCCCCCAGCCCGGCCTTGCGAGGTCTCACTCACCTCGCATCACAGGGGTGGTCCTCAGAGACGAGAGGATGGTCACCCCACGAAGTGGGTCCCCTGTGGGAACAGGGTCATGGTGATGCACAGCCCCGCCCCCCACCCCCCCACACCTCCCACCCATCTGCAGGCTCGACGTCAGCTGGGGTGGGAATCTGAGGAGACGTTTTAGAGTCGGCCGTTGGAGGCAGCTGGCTCCCAGGCCGACTCACTTCTGCGTGTGTGCGGCCCCCCTGCCTGTCAAATACACTCAGGGGCAGCAAAGACTTCCACAGGCCAAACAGCTTTCCCTTCCTCTGGGCTGTCGCTGGGAGAGGACCCCTGGGGCTGTCAGCTCACACCCACATGGCCCAGACACTGTTTGCACAGCAGGGGCTCCTTGTGCCCAGAGTCTCAGAAAAGCCTGAATCAACACCAGCAGCTCACGACGTCCGCTGGGTGCTGAGATCAGGCACAGCTGAGCCTCCCTGGGGGCCCGGTTTGGGGAAATGCAAACTGAGGTTGGCTGGGTTCGCCCCTGAAGCCCCGCCTTGTGTTGGGGCATCTGGCCACGCCAGGGGCCTCCCCTCACCCACTCGCCTCTACCAGGGCCCCACCGAACATGGCCCCTACCCCGTCCGCACAGCGTGGACGGGCATAGAAATACCCTGAGAGGCCGCCCACCAGCCCCCTTCAAGGCGAGAGGACTCATGTGCAGCTGAGGTATCAGGAGGTGAGCAGGGAGAATTGAAGACGTGGCTGTGAGTTCAGCTGGCCCTGCAGCCTGTCCCCCACTGTCTGCAGTGGGATGGAGGGACGATGGCAAGCAGCATACAGGGGGGCTGCCAGGTAACCGACCAGGTCTATGTATGCGGGGCTGTCCTCCAGCCCCCCAAGTTCTGACCCCTCAATGATGGCCCAATGCGAGTGGCCGCTCGGGGGCTCTGCCACACTGGGGCAGGGCGGGGCGGCTCTGACAGGTGGGGAGTTGACTCACCGCCAGGCCCCTGGTGGACTGAAGGGAGGTCCAGGTACTCATAGCCGGGTTCCGCAGAGCCATCGTGGGCCTGGCCTGCGGGAAGAGGAGAGGACACAGGGCCTTAGCCGGGCAGGCAGGGCACGCGCCTCACTATCAGATGGGGCACACGGAGGGAGGGACGGAAAGGCCAGGAACGGGTGGGGGTTCTCTGTATGGGGCTGGGGGCGCTGGGAGGGTCTCTGTCCACGCAGCCAAGCATCTGAGGTCGCCCCAGGCCCACAGTGATCACAACCCTCCTTGAACTTCCGCTCGTCTTGGCCCCACGAGCACTTGGGGGGGGGGGGCTGGCCCTGACCTGGTGTCTCCAGGGGCCATTCATTCACAGTGTCTACCATGGGCTGGGCGCTGGTCTCCCAGCTCAGGACATGGGGGCAACACCCCACCCTGTGCTGCAGCTATTGAGGGATCAGACGGTAAAAGACGGGTCCGTTACAGCTTGTCAGGAGGCACAGGGCTCTGGTGGGAAACTTGGAACAGGTTGGGGGGCCTGGGCGCCAAGAGTGGGGACAGGGCTGCACCCTACACGGGGTGCTCAGGGCCGCTGCCCAGATGAGGGCTCCGCACAGGGGAGGCTGGGGCAGGGGGCCGAGGCCACCCCGAGAACCCTGTGAGGCTGATATCTGGGGTCCTCAGAGCCCATGCCAGCGTGGAAGGGCACCAGACCCGCCACCCAGGACCCTGTGAGGGAAGGCCCAGACCTGAGGGCGAGGATGGGGGGGCCACGGCTTCACCCACAGATGTGCCCCTTTCCTCGGCTCGCCCCAGGACCACCCACCCTCATCTCTGAAGTGTGCCGAGGGAGCGCCCGGCGGGGGCCAGCCCAGCACAGGGATGGGAGGGAGGCCTTCCCAGCTCTGGGACTGTCTGGCAGCAGCAGGAGGCTGGGCACTGGGGGGTGAGCTGCGTAGGGCAGCGAGGACTTCACGTGCCGTGTCGTGGTCCCTGCATGCTGAGTCCTGCTCTGCCGTTCCAGGAGCCCCAGGAGCATCGCCCCCCACCCCAGGCAGCTCCTTCTGGAACACGCTGTCACCCCACACCTGTCTAAGACACAGCCATCCCCTGGGAAGCAGAGGTAGGAGGTGCAGGCCCAGGTAGGGGGGCCTCAGAGGGCCACGGGGACTGTGAGCCTCTCCCTGTCACCTTCACAGCTGTGGGCCCCACCATCACCCTCCACCCAAGGCTGAGACCCCCAGGAGGCCCCCATCGAGGCACAGATGGGGAAAGTGAGCTGGTGAACTGGGGATGCATGAAGGGGGTCCCAGGGGCAGGTGGGCATCTCCCCCAGGCCAGCCCAGGGGGCTGAAAGCATGCTCAGACCAGGCTGGCAGGGGCAAACGGCAGCGAGCCGCAGAGAAACACATGTGGAGGAGACCCTGTGGGCCAAAGGGCTGGCCGCTAACAGGGGAGGCGGGCAGGGGGCTCAGAGATGCTGGTCTCCTGCTCCCCCAGCTCAGGGCAGCAGCCCAATCTCAGAGGCCCCTCCCCCGACTTGGACCCCCACGCCCCTGAGAGCCCCTCCCCAACCTCACGCTGGAAGCTGCAAGATGGCTGGAGCCAGGGGCAAGGGCCCAGCTGCCCGGGGCCACTTATGGACACACTCAGCTTGCCCGGAACTCAGGGCAAGGCCTCTGAGCTGCCTGCTGCCTGCCCGGGACCGGGGCCACCCCAGGACCCGGGGGAGCAACAGGGGAGCTGGGCCGTGGCCAGGGCCAGCCTAGGAAAGCCAGCCAGCACTAGCCTTACCTGTGTGCTGGGCGCAGGCCAGGGCGAGAGCCAGCACCCAGAGTGGGGCCAGCTTTCTCCGGCCAACACCCATCGTGCGGAGGGAGGGGAGAAGTCCCCAGGGGCAGCCTCTGAGGAGGGACCTGAGTCGGCAGGAGCCTTTTGTAGCCCCAGAGCTGGCTGCAACCCAGTGGCTACACGTGGGTGGGCGGGGCAGGGCGGTGGTTCCCCTCACCCAGGTAAACAGTGGGCACTCACTCCAGGCTGGCGGGCGTCAGAGACAGGCAGAAATGGGTGTATCTGCCAGATGGGGCCCGGTTTTCTGAGGGGTCCCCAAGTCCTGGCCTGCAGGCATCCTCCTGCCAGGCCCTCCACCCCAGACTTTCCCTGGGCAGGCTTCTGTGCAGCCAGACTCCTGAGTTCCTGGTGCCTGGAGAAGCCACCAGCATGCTCACTGCTGATGGGGCTGCCAGGGCAGGCCTCGCCCTCGCTGGAGAGGGACTAGTGTAGCTGCACCCCCAGGGACAGGACCCTTCCCCACAGGGCAACCCCCAGCCCGGTACTGCCTGGGACCCTGGTGTGCTTCAGGCTCCTGGCCCCAGGTGGGCAGTGGGCAGCCACAAGCCAGCTTGAGTCACACGTGGGCCTGTGGCCCTGAGGGGCGGGAGCAGCTGTGCCCGCCAGGCTGGAGAGATGCCGACAAGCACCAGCCCAGAAACCGTCTGGGCAGCTCTTTGCCCTGATGGGCTCCAGCTGAGAAGGCGCCGTAGTGTAACGGACACCCGGCCCAGACCACGGGTGTGTTAGCCCCGGGCCTTGTCAGGGCTGCCAAACAAACACCCCCACCAAGGCCGGCAGCCCCACTGCCCACAGGTGGGCCTGACCAGGAGGCCCCCTGGGGAGACATGGCAGCAAAAGGAGGGGAGCTGGGAGGGTCTGGGGTCAGGGGTGCCTCGGAGCTGTTCTGAGTACTTGCTTCTTACTCTCTTGGGGCCTGTCCCAAGCTCCTTCTGGTCACCTGTTCCCTGAGCCACCCCCTCCCTGTGCCCCAACCTGGCCCTGGAAGCCTGAGAGAGAGTGCCTCACACATAACATCATGAGTGTGAGGGAGGTGGGGACGATAAATGAATGAATGAATGAGGGAGGGAGGGAGTGAATGAGTGAGTGAGTGAATGAATAAGCGAGTGAGTGAATGAGTGAGGGAGTGAGCGAATGAGTGAGGGAGTGAGTGAATGAGTGAGGGAGTGAGAGGATGAAGGAGTGGGTGAAGGAAGGAGGGAGGGAGTGAATGAATGAATGAGGGAGGGAGGGAATGAGTGAGGGAGGGAATGAATGAGGGAGGGAATGATTGAGTGAGAGAGTGAGTGATCCTACAGGAGGGGGTTGGTGCCTGATGGGGTGAGTGCCTGATGGGGTGAGTGAATGGGGGCCCCCAGGAGGCTGCTGCCTCAGACATTCTGACCCCACAGGCATAGTTGGGGCTCCCCTGCCCGGCCTTAGAGCTGGACACCACGCCACCTGGTGCTGAGCAGAGCAGAGGGGGTCCCCAGTCAGCGTATGGACAGCAGGTCCCCAGGGGCAGGCAGGGTGGCCCGGTCTGGCTCCAAAGGGCTATGCGGCTTTGTGGACGCTGGGAACCCAGTGCCATGGGGAGGCTCACAGGTCTATGGGTGGGGGCCAGGACCCAGGCCGACGGGTGTGTGAATGACATGGGCCTGCACTCCTTACGCCCCTAGAAAGGCAGGGAGGCCATAGGTCAGTCAGTGTCCATGCTCCCGGTACGGGGCACAGGCCGTGTCCCCTGACCCGTCTGAGTCACCAGCCTGGCCCTCAGAGCGGGGCATGCCCTGGGTGTCCGAGGCTGGGCTGAGCCACCCAGGCAGAAGGCACTGATCAGCCACCCGGAGTTTGCAGCCCTGGGTCCTCCAGGCCACAGCACGTCCCTGCCCCAGGGTTAATGCCCCTTCCCAGGCGCATCCCCTATAAGATGATGCCCAGGGCCACTGCTGGGGTCCGGGGCGGCTGTAACTGCCCATGCTGGCATCCGTGCTGGCCTGGTTGCACTGGGCTTCCTCCTGGGGCCCAACTTGAACCATCAGACACAGGCAACCAGGCCACCCTCCTGTCCCCTGAAAATCCAACCCAGGCTTATGCCTCAGGAGGCCCTGGGCCTGGCACCTGCTCACTGAGGTCTGAGGTTTCCTGGCTCTCGAGGGACCCGTGGGGAGGGAGTCCGGAGTCAGGGGAGGGGTGGGGCTGGTGACTTGGCCTCAAAGATCAGGGTCCTAGGGCTGGCCCAGTGGTGTAGTGGTTAAGATCTCACGATCTGCTTCAGCAGCCTAGGGATCTCAGGTTTGGATCCCAGGTGCGGACCTACACACCACTCATCAAGCCATGCTGTGGCGGCATCCCACATACAAAATAGAGGAAGATGGGCACAGACGTTAGTCCGGGGGCAATCTTCCTCAAGAAAAAAGAGGAGGATTGGCAACAGATGTTAGCTCAGGGCCAATCTTCCTTACCAAAAAAAAAAAATCAAAGTCCTCTTTTCCTGTGACCTCCCAGACCCAGCAGGTACTGTGGAGGGGTAGGGGGCTGGGGATCCTTTAGAGTAGCTGGCAGTGACCCCACCCTCCTGCTCTCGGGGGCTTCCCGCTCAGTAAGGGGCAGCACAGGGGAAGGGGCGAGGCTGCGACAAGCCGCTGCCTCTCCAAGCCTCAGTCTCCTGATCTGAAAAGGGGTTTGTGAAAATCCTTGCAGAAACGGGATCACACGGGCAGGGGACTCGCAGTCAGGATGCCGTGCGCACAAGAAGGGGCACACCTGGGGGCGCGCCTGGCCCAGGGTCCCCAGGGGCTGCACAACATGTGCGTGGGCCGCTGCCTGCCCCCAAGCAGATCTGTAAAACGAGACCAGCGAGAGTGCTGGGGTCCGGCCCTGGCGGGAGCTCCCACGTTGCCACAGAGACAGGAGGGTGGGGAGGGATGCAGGAACGGGGTGGAGGCCCTGGCAGGTCCCAGAGCATCGCTCTTGCGGTCACCACTATCGCCAGGCCGCTGACTCATTCCGGCCACTCTGATTCGGGACAGGAAGCCAGCGTCAGATAGCCCCTGTTTGTCAGGGGTGATTGGACCCAGGTGAGGACGAAACATCTGGCCTGCCGGGATCCGGCCGTGAGCAGGGCCCCCTGAGCAGAGAGGACCCCACAGGTGGAGGTGCAGCCTGGGTATCCCTGCCCATGGGCCACTCCTCCGAGAGTCCAGCGCTCCCCTCTTGGGGGCAGGGGTGAAGATGGGGCCTGGGCCCTGGGACCGCCGACCAAGGGCAGCGTGCCCCTCACAGCTCTCTCCTCAGAAGCCTGATGTGACAGAAGCAGCCCCCAGCTCCCTCTGAGGTCTCCTCGCCTCGGCAGAGCCCCTGCGCTGCCCCCGCTCCTCTCCCCTCCTGCTCCTCTGACACCCGTCAGTAAAGGAGGGGCCCCCGGCCTGACCCCAACCCGGACACTGACCCCAGCCCAGGCCAGCCCGGCTGTTACTGGCCAGGGTGACCAGGGCGGAGGACACTGGTTTCAACATTGCCTGCCCCCGGCTGGGATTTCCCCCACCCTAGGGCTTGTCACTTCCATTCCAGTTTCTGGGCACGGCTGAGGTCCCAAGGCAGATGACTCCCAGCGCTCTTGGGATCGCAGGTCCTGGCTGGCAGGACCTGGGGGGGCCGCTCCCTCTCTGCAGGAGCTCTCAGGCCGGCTGTTCCCAGCCTTCCTTCTCCTCCACGAGGCTGCGGGGCAGGGCGGGGCCTCTGTCCTGGGGAGGCCAGGCATGGCTTTAGGGGTGAGGGGGCAGCTTCAGCCCTTCCTATGCTGGATTCTGGGGTTGGTGTCCCCTCTCCAGGACCAGGAGCTGAGCACAGACTGTCCTTCTGGAGCGGCCAGGCAGCTGGGACCCAGGCCTCCCTTACAACCCGGTGCCCTCCAGGAGGCTGCCATGTGGGCACATCTCCAACCCAGAGGTCCACACCTGCACCCCAAGTGCCAGGTTCCCCCAACCCCCTTCCCCAGGGAACAGGCCAGGCCTGGACCAGCCACGCATCTCAAAGTGGAGGGTGGGTAGTGGCTGCTGTTGTCTAGTGGAGCAGACGGCTATCTCCAGACCCCACCGGACCCTGTTTGCAGGCCTGTCTCGGTGGCCCTGAGTACGGGGCTGGCTGCTCCAATGCCCTGACAAAGACTAGCCCTGGCAGGAGTGCCTGGCAGGCCGGGCACATGTCTTTGTTCAATCCTTTAAAAAACCTAAACCCCTGAGTGGTAGGAACTGTGGTAATCCCCACTTTGCGGATGACACAGGAGGGAGATGCCTGGCCAGGGAGAGGCCGGCCGGAACTCGAACCCAGGACCAGGGCTCCAGACTCTGGGAGAAGGCAGTATCCTGGGTCTAGCACCCACCAGCAGTGTGGTCCTGGGCCAGCGCATCACCCTCTCTGTGCCTCGGGCTCCTCATCTGGAAAACGGTGATCGTAGGACCCGCTGCTGGGAGGACTGTTGCTCCAAAGATGAAATGAGTCAATGAACAGGCGAAGCATCCTCTGAGCTGTGTCTGGTCCCAGGAAGTGTCCCCCGCCACCCTCGAGGGGTCTGCCACCCCCTGGCCCCTGAGACTTTGGGTGAGTCAAGGGGCCCCACCAAGCTCCTGCTTCCTGATCCGTGAAACTGGGCGATGACGACACACTGGTCCTTTCTTGGACTTTTTGCACATTTTAACAAACCTGGAATTGCAGTCCCTCATGCATCAAATCGTGCACCATCACAGTTCATCGGGCAGCACCTTCCTCTCCCGGCAGCACCTAAAATCATGGCACACTTTCTGATCAATGGGGGCTTAATGTCCATGACTCGCAGTTGCGCCTGACATTCGGAGGTCGCCAGGAGGGTCAAGGGCTGTGGCCCAGGCTGGCCCCCCCAACAAGCAGCTGCCGTGACCGCTGGCGTCACAGATCGATGATAAACTGGGCAGTTTGGGGCAAGGTTCCTGCATCTCCACGTGAGAGAGAATGATCTGAGCCGGGAGGAGGAAATGGCTGGGGCTCTGGCCAGGAAGG